AACTAAGGAAGAGGGAAGGCTGGGCGTGAGGCTAGCAACCCCATCCTGTAAAAATAAACATTGCTACAGAAACTTCAAGTCTTTAGCTTGAAGCTCCATGTTCCACTGGGAACGTGAAGGAATAAAGAAAACCAGTTGTAGTATGTTAAACGGACAGATTTTTCCAGGGAACTATAATGTCGTTTACATGGTAGATAAATTTTCACTTACCGAGGAATGGTGCTTACCTACATATATTTACATTTTAAACAAAAGTGACTGCATTTATAATTTGGGAAAAAGGCAGAATTGTAACTAGGTCTGATGTCAGTATACTAAATTGTATGTTGGACTTGTTCAGGAGCTAAGTATGTTAATTATAACCTTAAAAGGGGAGATTCTAGAACTTCACTCTACAAATAACTGTGGAACACCTGAATCGCTGCATTGTTGTAAATATTTATTGGGGGAAAAGATGAGTGGCTAGGTGTACTTATTACTGTGAGAATGAGTTAGTATTGCTAACTGTTGCTATAGTACCGAAGAAAAATACTGAAAATAGTAGTTCCAACAGTGAATTGCTAAGAACCGTTTTTAATAGTTCTACTGTAATTGCTTATCATGCATGTTTCTTAATGATGCTGTGTTGTCTTTGTCATTCGTCATCATCACAACTGAATTTTATTTTACTTCTGTTTACGTACCAGTTGGTAAGCAAGGTGGCTGTTTAGTTTTAGGTACTGATTAAAATCTGTTAATCGGGCTGATTTCTTTTGTTTCTTTGCAGATTTATTGCTTTTCAAATTTCTCTATTTTCATTTGAATTAATAGTAATAACAATAATTTGCTTTATTCCAAAAACATTACTTATAATACAGCATGGAGCTTTCAGCATTTGTCACAATATTGCATTTAATTTACTAAATAGAAATGAAATTAGTCGCAGGAACATTTCCGAATTCAAAGTAGAAATAATGTCAAAGATGTGCAAAGTATAAAATGAGAATAACTATAATAATAAGAATAGATTTGTTTCAAATGATATTGTCTAGATAGCATGGAATTCTTAGCATGTTAGCATGTTCTCTTAACATAGCATGGTGGGAGGAAAAACAAAAAATAATTATTATTATTATTATAGAGCCTAAATGGTGTTTACACTTATGAAAAAAAAATGAGAGGACCATAAATATAAGAGGAATAATAACAGTAAAGCTTGATGGTATAAGGATGGAGAAAACTGTATATTCACTGGTGGAAAAGTTAGTTAGTTCATGCCTGACACTATTTTCATCACATAAAATACGTGCCAAATATGGTATCGTGGAATTTTTATACTTGGACGTGCACACATAGTCTTTTGAAATGACTTCTTGTTCTATCTGAGGAGATGCAAGGTGAAAGCTGCGGGTAAAGTGGATGCTCATAGTCTGACAAACTCCCTTTAGCAAATTTATGGCATACAATTAAGTGTCTATGAATGAAGATATCAACGATTTGACTCAATGGGATATCCCTCTCTCCACTGACAGTCTTCAGAGTTCTACGAAGTATGACTTAGTCTTTTTTAAGCAATCCAGGAAAGAATAAGGGTGAACAGTAAAGAAGAATAGGTAAGATGCACGAATTGACAAACTGTAAGAGGAGGGGTTGGGTTATGCCTGAGTGCCTTAACTTCTTAATGTAAAAAGTCAGACGAAATATTCTTTTATAAATCGCTAAGATATGCGAAGACCAGGATAGATCAGAAGAAAGAATTAGTTCAGGATACTTAACGTCAGACTTGACTTCGATATCAGTATCATCAATTTTGCAATAGTCATGGAAATTAACAGCTTCATTTATTTTTCTTTTACATCTGAAACTAAAATTAACAGTGTGGTATTTAGGAGGATTTAGTTGAAGACCATCAGGCAAAAACCATTTGCTGACTTCTGATAGAAAGCTGTTCATCTTAGTACAATCTAGCTGTGAGTTAACAGGTATTGAAACAGTTAGATCGTCCGCATAATTAACAAAGTTTATTTCATCAGAGTGAAACAAGTTATGCAAGAAGAAAGAAAACAGAAGGAGAGAGAACAGTGCCTTGAGGGACTCCAGCTTCAGTAAGCAATGAAGTGAACGACTTCCCCTGACATACAGTGTACTGCTTTCGTCCTGAGAAGTAAGTATGCAGCTATTTGACGATCCAACACTCAGTTTTAGTTTCAGCAAACTTATTTTATAAAATATCCCTACGTACCGAGTAAAAAGCAGACTTGTAATCTAGGAGAGCGCAGCGAACAAATTTAGCCCCTTCGTCTAAACTGGAGACAGTGTTATGATGCAAGACTGCAGTTGCATCTAAAGTTCTTCTACTATGTTTGTAGGCTAATTGTTTGAGATCGTTAAAGGCTTTAAGTGAGGGTTCAAGATTAAGTAAATACAACTTTTCCATATTTTCCAGAAAAGGAGGGGTTATAGCAATAGGTGTAAACTTGACACATGTTCCAGTAGATGATGACGTTAGTATAGGTACGATTTTAATATCTTTCTAAATGTCTTTCACTCCATTTCTGGAAAAGGAGTCATTAAATGTCAGTGGGAAGATAACGTTTTTTAAGAATAACACTGGGCATAAATCATCGGGATCTAGGCTTTGTAAAGGGTTCAGCGACTGGACATGTTTTAGAACGTCATTTGTGTTGAAACCAGGAAAGCATGGCATTTGTAAAAGAATGCATGAGATACTTGTTTAGGGTACACACATCAAATGAACAAGGAATACTGTTTATCTACTTATCGCCAGTAATTTCTTTGGAAAGTCTCCAAATATTAGAGGCATTTTTACAGGATATGAACTTCTGGTTATAAATTGAATTCAACTTATGCGTTTCAGACTTGATTAAGGTGTTAATCCTTTTCACACCATTGCTATCCTTCATTTTATTTAACTTTCCCTTTACTGTGCGTAGCTTTTTAAGTTGAGGGAAGGAGAAACGCTGGAATCTGATGAAAAGCGTCTCTCTGAGCAACAGATATCAAGACACAATTTCAGACAACTTGTAATATTTGAGGTAGTATCACCAAGAGAGAGTCTTCATTAAACAAATTCCACCTTGTGTCTTTGAGCATGCTTCTAAGGTTCTGTACCATCAGCTCCAACGGGTTGATCTCTGACGAAATCTCAGCACGGATACAGAGGGCTAGTTTCGCATATGCCAGTTTACGCCGTCTCTGGCGTAGACGTGATATCCGACTATCGACCAAAGGGCGTGTGTACTGCTCATCAGTCCGCTCCTCCCTCCTTTATGGCTGTGAGACCTGGCCATTGAAAGTGAAAGACATCAAAAGGCTAGCTGTCTTTCATCATAGGTTTCTGAGTTCTGTCTCCTGTGTGAAGTGGTATAATGTAATGAGCAACATTGAGGTTAGGCATCCGTCGAGTACTAGGTAGGTGGGAGGGAAAATCAATCGATGAGGCTGTGAAGTTGCATCGATTGAGATGGTAAGGGCATGTGTTACGTATGCCTAGCCATCGCCTTCCTCGACTGACGGGCAATGTTAGCTGACGTAGGGTCAAGCTGGAAAAGAGCTAGCGGCGGTTAAACCAAAACATGGCACCAGTCAATGAAATCTACAACAGTTAGTCTAAGCCACGTAGGAAGATGTAGACTTCCTGGTTGGGGTCCTCGGGACGGTAAAAACCAATGGTTGGAAACAATCGGTGACATGGCTCAAAATCGTTCTCAGTGGCTGGAGCAGGTGCATCCACTCCTTGTGACTTATGATTTCCAATGAAACTGTTTTGTTCTTCGTTATTACTATTCCTTTGTCTCACAGCTCTGTTTACTGTCTCTAATATGCATTTTTCCCACTTTCTTCTCTTGCTTTGTGTGCTACATGGAGTGTGGCGACTTGAACTGCCGCACATATGTGCAAAGTTCTATGTCGAAAACAGACAGACATTCTCGTTAGATTAACATCTGTATACAATTGTTTTGAACAGGTATGAGAAGGCTCTCTCTCTCTATATATATATGAGCTGTTCATTTCAGTATTGAACTATATGATATAACAATTTATTTCATAACTGACTGTTTCGTGTGTTTATACTTGGACTTATGATTGAAGAGGCCATGTGAAAAGAGGTCTCATTTTGCTGCTGAATACGAAACCAACTTTGCTCTTAATGTCATGGAAATGAACGTTATCAGGTGTATTAAAGTACTGTCTCTCATCAGTGTTATCATCTGTTTCACGTGACTAGTTTGAAACCATGTAGTAGTAGTAGTGGTAGTACTAATCAAAAGCCGTAAGTCGAGGGTTGTTTTTCACTATGTTTGAAAGTAGTTTTCAGAACCGGGTATTGGGTTGGTGGAGGAGGTGGGGGGGAGAATTATTTGAAAAATTACGAAAACCTTTGAAATGATAAATTTCCTTTATCTGTTTTCATTTTATTCAATAGTCATTAGTTGTCATGAGGTATCACTAGATTTTGAGTCAATTTGGAGTTGGTTTCTACTACAAGCACATTATCAATCAATAAGATGACCCTGTTTTGGTGTTGTAATATATGGGCATAGCATATTTGATTACTGCGTAGTTCCGTTCAAAACGTATGTATACTTCTTTACTTTACTACTTTGTCGAATAATCGATATATAAATATATATATATATATATATATATATATATATATATATTGTCAATACGAGTTGAAGACATGAAAAGGTTGACTGTTTCTGACCACAGATGTCTACGATCTCTTTCTCATGTTAGGTGGTGTGCTATTTGGAACGTGGCAACTCGAACTGTTGAATCCAGACAGATATATAATTATATTGTTGTCTGATTTGTTTTTCTAAATGACAAAATTGACCAGATTAAATGAAATTAAGAATTTTTACATTGATGAGGATAATAGTGATACTGACTATATTACTTATGTTTCTCGTATTTATTATAATATAATCTATTAATGATATCCTCCTAGAGACTGTCTTACATTTTTCTTTTTTTTCTCCATAAAACTCTATTAGTTACCTATTGGGAAAATCTGGATTTGAATGTATGGATCCGTTTGTTCCTGTTCTTGTTGAAAATTACACTCCATCAGAAATTGATGCCATGTTAAGATTTTATGCAGAAAATCAATGGCTAACAAATCCTGCTGTTTTTACACCAAATGGCCGAGCTGAATTAATCTTTCTCTCTGATCATAATCCATTAGAACTTAGTCGTGTTGCTGCTGAATGGTAGACTGATGCATTCAATCACTAAGATCTATCTTCCTATCTATCATTGTTTTCTTCACCTTTACTACAACAATATTCTGTGCATTGCGAAGAGAGGAAATATTAATTACCAGTTTGTATTTCTAAACTGGTATACTGTATATATATAAAAAGGCCTACCTAAACATAACTTCACAATTTTAATGTACAGTACATTCATAATTTTTGTTATGGTCAGTACATATATATAAATAAAATACTTATTTGTATCATGTCGTTCTCTCTCACTCTCACCTGCTGTGTCTGCTGCTTATACTGTAGCTCTGAATTTACCTTTTTCTTTTAAGAAAATGAATATTTTTCGTATTTAATATTTTCTGGAATGGACATCCAGGCTTTAATCTACAGTTCTTCGTAGGATCAATTCAATTGCTTTTAGTTGTGATACTTAACTCATTTCTACTACTTGACATTTTTAACTCAATACGCACACGCACAGGAAAGATTATTGTTGTGTTGCGATAAATAAGCGACGGATGTTAGTAAAGAATTTTTATTAATATCTGGGACCTGTTTTACACTTTTGTTCAGAAAGAATTATTTTTAATTACTCTTGTAACGACAGAAGACAAAGGCCAGGCAGCAGATCGTTTATACTGAGAAAATCAACAGATATTTATAGATTTTCGTGTACATTATTATTCGTTATAATTAGCAGAGAAACAACTTCTTCTGATTGGTTGTTTTCTCACTGGAAGTTATTCTGTCATCTCTTTGTGGCCGTTTCTTTGAAGGTCAGAGCATATATCTGCGAATCGTATCCGCCCACGCAAAGTCTGTTGTTACTGGTTGTTGAGTTAGTCTTTTAATTGAATTTTAGGTTTTCCCGTCGATTGATTGGACCGAAGTGCTCGGTCCCAGGTTGACATGTCGGCTTCTTGTGCAGATGCTTCGACGATCTAAAATTCAATTAAATTAACATGACCCGTTGCACAAGAGGTGGCTCTCGTGCCCCCAAGTGGTCTAGTGGATAACGCTTTGGCGTCCGAAACTATGGGTACTGGGTTCGAGACTCGGTGGGAACATCATCGCTCACTGGGGAATGCAGGTACATGCAGCAGGAAGACGAGTCCCAAATAGGACGAAATGCGCATCCTGGATTCCACTGCTAGTCACCATGCACCAATGAGTTTGTCTTTGTTCTTGTTTTTTTCTCATGACCAAGATTCGGGACGTAAACATTGACTTAAATTGCTGTCTACCAATTTTGGCTAGCAAACAGCTCTTACCACACACTCAACTGATGCTGTCTCCTGTGTTAGATGGTATAATATGATGAGTAATGTTGAGATTAAGCGTAGAGTGTTAGGTAAGGTGGAGAAGGCAATCGATAATGTTGTGAAGCTAGATCGACCGAGATGGCTAGATCATGTGGTACGGGTGTGTGTAGCCATAGCCTTCCTCGTTAAGGACTATTAGCTGATATACGGTTATGTCGTCAGAGAGTTAGTGATGACCAGATTAGAGCCTTTAATCAATCCATGAAGTCTTTTAGTGTTGCATTCAGCCAACCATATGACGAGATGTTGACTGTCTGACTAGAGTAGTTCTCAGTGGTGCAGACGAATTCACTCTACATGATCTCTTAGATTTATCAAATTATCATTATTTTCTGTATACTTATTCTTTCTGCCGTACGTTTCCGTTCATTATGGTTCCTTTGGATTTCTATTTTTCTCTTGCTTTCTTGTGCTATATGAAGTGTAGCAAAGTTATAAGTTAAAAATTCAGCCAGTTGTTTGTTGTGTCTAAATAAACAAACATGAAACCTAATGTATAAATCAGTGTTTCTTCACAATCTGTTATTTACTGACTCATTGTAGTAGTGTTTTGAATAAATGTATATCAGAAGACGTTTGTTTTACAGAATCAGTTCATTACTGATATGCAAATACTCATAGTTAACATTAAACGACTATGGTTTGTTCATTAAACAGTAAGTTATTTGGTTACAGGATTTCATCATGAGCTGACATCGGTAAAGATAACCAATGGAAAATGTGGGAGTACTGGACAGCTGTTTCATCCTAGCTTGGCACTTTTTAACAATACGCACCCACCGGGGTTCGAACCCTGAACCTTCCGGTTACAAGGTGAGCCTGTATGCCATTCAGCCACTGGAACTGGATCTAGTGGTTCATGAATTCCAACTTCTGCCAATTCACGATACAGCGCGACCCGGTGGATGCGTACTGATGAAGAGTTGCGAACTAGGCAGAAATAGCTATTCAGTACTCCCATATTTTCCAATGATTCTCCAACCGATGTCAGCTCATGATGAAATCAAATCAAATCCCTGCAAACCAACACTTGAACAAGTTGTTTGCTAGGGATATTTAATTAAGTGGTCACACAAATTATCTTGTGGCCATTTTATGTTAGGCTGAAATTTTATCCACTATAACAATTATCCTAAGGATAATTACATTTGTTTCTGGAGTTTAAAAACGTATCTGTTACTTGGAGAACAAACTTTTCGATTTTATTTATGATTGTAAAATTATCATGTGAGATCACTAATAAGTATTTGAGAAATGCGGGTGAATAAATTGCATATTACGCGTTGATAGCACATGTTCGACAAACCCTCCTCTTACCCGCTTCCTTGAAATAGTTCTTACTAATGCTTTTTATTTTGAAGGAACGATATTTAAACTATTATTATTTCCTTGAGTTCCGACTGGAACATAGGGCTTCAACAATACATCTCCACCTTCTTCTGTTTCCTGCCACCCTCTTCAGCTGGGTCCACGATTGCCCCAGATATCTCATCTCTTCCTGACATAATCTCCATGTCACCCTAGGACGACCCACTCGTCGCTTCCAATATGGATTCCATTCGAGCAATGGTCTAGCGCGCGATGTTATTCGACGGCCTGCTCAATGTATGCCCGATCCATCTCCATTTTCTCCTAGATATTTGTTGAGCGATCGGCTCTTGGTTGGTTTGTTGTCAGAGTTTCTTGTTACTTATTCTTCCTGACCAATTTGATCTTCAGTATGGAGCCAGCGAAGGTAGCTGTTGATGAAAGTCGGAAATCCTTTTTATGGCACTCCAAGTTTCTGACTTGCATAGAAACACTGGCTGACTTCACATTTGTGTTGAAAATCCGAATCTTGTTGTTTATATGCTGGCTGAGTGCAGAAGATTTCCAAACTGGTTTCAGGTTTGTATATACTGATAATATTAATATAAAGCTACTTCGTTCTCTATCTGTTACAACAGTGAAAACCAGTCAAAATGTGTTTGAATCGACAAAATTGCTGAGACATACAGTAAACATGTTCATAGATGCTTCATTTTTATGTTCTTTGTTTGATAAAATACATGTAACCTTACGGGAAGTCGTTCATTTAAGCGTGACATCACTCGGCCATCGTCTCTTGTGTAGCGTTTAGTGACTGGTTAGGATTTCGGGCGTATAGAGTAGTTGTCAATTGTTGGTTTACATATGTAACTCTTAATTAAATTCAACTGTGCAACTAGATTGATTCTATATCATCGGTTAACAAATAATCTTTTTAGATGGTTGGAGGTAATCAGCCACAGGAAGCCTTGTGTGACCTAAGTTTCGTGCTAGTTGGCAATCACCAGTCAGCAAGGCGTATCTGCAACCTTGAAAGAACTCATGTCCCTTCTGAAATTCGAATCCGCGCCACCCAGCGCTGTAGCCAGAAACGCTATTCAGACTCGTGATTGACCTCATGTAAGACTAATTGTATTGGATACTTTGATTGGACACCAGTTATAAGTGTCCAATCAAAATAATCTTAGCATTTCATGTGCCTTTTTCTACAATTAGTTGGTCATTTTGAAAATTTCTTTAGGAATTTTATTACCCAATTAAGCTAAATGGCATATTGTAGAATATCTTCATCTACTATCCGTCTATAGAAAAGACATCAAAAAGTCTTTAAACTATGTTTTAAAACTATCTTTTGAGGTTCAACAGCACAACTACATAATTCTTTTGAGAAAATTAATTACTGTGCTGATAAAGTCAAAGTTTTAAAGGAATTTTCAGACACAACTCAACTGAGGCTGTTGGAACTTCACGTGTATGATATACCCATTGGGCGTAATTTTCGTAAGACATTTTTTGTTTAAATAATGTACGGGACTTTGCAGTATAACTGTTAATTACAAGACGTCCAACTTCAAGTAATTGGGTCACAAGTTCGAAGTACGCTCTATATACCGGGATTCAGATAGCCAAGTTGTATCACTGGCCCTCACACAATTAGGTCTGGCTCATCACGAAATGCATTTGAATAGATTCTGACTGATTTCCTCGATCAGTCAACAGATATCTTGTGAAACAAGAGACCACTAATCTTAGGTCTTGAGCTTTTCTTGATGAATACCTGACATGTCTATAATATGTTTCCATTTTCGAAGATTTTTCAAACGGTGAAATGATGTTTTCGCTTTTGATTTTACTGAGTTTTACTTGTAGCTTGATTTGTTAGAAATATTCACTGCAGCTGCCCACCATTTTTTTCTTTTTTTTCTTCTCTGTAGATATCGATCTACAAAGTTTTAAGTTGTAAAACTCCCACCAGTGGATATCATTATTTCTCTAGGCTTATCACATCTGCAATTAAATGTCAACAGTTTCAAATGAGTACTAATTCAGTTAAAGAGCATCATAAACTAGCTATAGAAAGATTACATAACTGGTTGTCTAACAATGATCTGCCATTGAAATCGAATTGCAAAAGTACGTCCGACGAATGCTTCACTTATGAGTACACTTGCTATGATCCTTCGACACAAAAACCTTTAGTACGCTACAACGCTACTACTAGTTCACAACTGGATGAAATGGCGGTTAATGCGTGTAAAGCTCAAAAACAATGGGTTGATCTGCCACTTTTAGAACGCGCGAAGGTATGTGTGTTACCCATTTTAATCATTTTTTTACTATATCTTATGAATACACAGAAAATCATTATATATAAATAATAACATTGGAGTCCTACACAGTCAGTGTATGTGACTCTGGCTTTTGTAGCTTCTACTAAGGAAAATCAATCACACTGTTCCATTAGTTAAAGAAGTTTTATATTTTTCTATAGTTTGGTTTGTAAGGGTTAGTTGTGTTTTTACGAGTTGATCACGGATTGATATCAGTTAGAGAACCATTGAAAACCAGGGAGTACTGGACAGCTGCTG